ATTGAACCACAATACCGATAAGTAATTAATAAAAGTCAAAAGACCAAAGAGGTCACCTTAATACTAAAAAAAAAAAAAACAATTACTTATTATATAATATTAATATGACTATTATCCAGAAGGCTCAAAAATCCAAAACTAATAACTATGCTAGCACTTTGGATCAGTTCTTAGAAATTGTAATTCATCAGCTAGCTCTACTTCAGAGCAATTGTGTGAACAAGCCTTCAAGCTTAATACTTTAATTCCTAACTAAAAGACTTACAAGTGTTTTAAAGAAGCCCTTGCAAGAACTGGCCAGTCAAGACATTCATTTAGCAAAAAGCAGATAGAAGCTTTCCTACTAGACAAAAGAAAGAAAAAGGTCATTATAGAGGAAAGAGCAAAATATTGTGCTATAGTCAGTGATATTATAGACATTTTCGCCTATTATTTAAACTTAGATCTGAAAAATAAAGATGAAAATGAAATAGTTGCTAGTAACTTATACCAGTCACAATTCTGTGTAAAGTTAGCAAAAGCTAAAATAAACTCTAAAATTATTAATACTTGAGCCAAAGATCTAAAATTTATTCAAAAGTTAATAAAATTTAAAAAAAGCAAACTAAGAAACAAATAGCTAATTCAAATAGAATTTCTATATATTTTTTTTTTAGCAAATGTGAGTAAAAGGATTCAAAACATGAATGTTTTCAAAATTCCTACTAGAGAGGATCTTATAGATATAATTGTGATGTTGAGTATAAGACCTGCAGAAGTAAGATTACTTCAAATTAATCACTATGAACTGAATTCTTCAAATATTCTAGCATAATACAAAGATGACTATTTATAGTATTGCACAAGTTATTTAAAAAGTAGAAGAGAAAAAAAAAAGAATCCTAAACTCTGACTATTTCTTTTCATGAAGAAGAATTTGAAATGTACTAGGAAATTACTTATCTGAATTCAAAATGCAATCAAGACAAAAAAGTTGCATGATTCTGTTTTTACTGAAAATGAAACATATAATTCTTGGCCATTTAACAAATTCTTAAACCAAAAGCCTTATAAAACTATATCTAAAAAGTTACAAGATTATAGAAGCAAACATGTCTTCAGAATTCATAGTGGTAAGAAACCAACTCTCTGACATCTTAAACTGCTTTCAAGAATTGCAATGAGACAAAAATCAGACTGCCTTGATGCAAATAATAATTATATTATAGATAATACAGAATCGAAAGAGTTTGACTCTAAACCAGAGACAAACAACAGTCCAAAACCCCAAATGCAGGCTTCTTCACTATCTTAAACAATAAAAATAGATTCAATATTAGCTAAAATTGATGCAATGTTAGCTAAAATTCAGAAATAAATGCCAGAAAATGGGTTCAGAGTAGTGATATGAATGTTACTAGTCTAGAGAATTTTTGCTAAATCCTCATATATGTGAAACTCAAGTTGTTTACTGTTTTTCTAATGCTATTTTTGAGATCACAATTGAGAGAGATATTTTTATATTAATATTTTTTTTCTTATAATTAGCAATATCAAAATAAAATAAAAATCTATAAAGTGTATATCTCCTTTTTTTTACTAATCATTCATGATTGCTAATAGATCGATCAATCCTTAGTTCATACTAAATAATTCTGAATAAATAGATCATCAAATCTAAAATTGTTTTTTCTTAATATATAGATCAAAGGTTTGTTAGTTATGAGAAATAAATTATATAAATAAACTAAATATAAGAAATTTTGCTCTTGAATATAGCTATTAATCCTATGTCTCTAAATATTATATGTCTCAAAATATTTGTATTAAATATTCTTAAAAATTCATCTTTAGAAAAAATTGTAAGTGATATTAATATATCTAAACTAGATTCATGTTTGTTATGCAACCAATAACTTTTTTATATGAAATAAAAAAACCAATTACTTTACTTAACTGTGACCACTTATATCATTGTGATTGTATCAAAAATTCTATTAAAATTAGTTCAAAATACCTAAAACCTAGTTGTATGAAGGAGATAGAATCTGTAGTCGAAATGCCTAAAAGTTAGGATATCGATTTAATAGAAATGTTAATTACGATATTTAAAAACCCTCTGTTTACCCAAAGTAATATATCAAAAAACATACTAATAATTTCAAATTATTTCTGGATAAACTATCTAACAAAAAAGCAAAGCAAATAAAAAAAGAATTGCTTACACTAAAGAAACTTATAGAAGAATTATTTACTGAACTTAGTACTCTGTAATTTCTTGTAACTAAAAAAGAAAATATAAATAATTTTGTTGATTTATACAATAATATAACTTATGCAAAAACTAAAAATGAAATTATAAATTAAGAAGTTATAACTAGCTATTATCTTTTCAGTAAAACACTTAAGGATAAGTATGATCATCATAAAAAAAATAATCCTAAATATACAGCTTAGGCATTAGTTAATAAAGAAGTTAGATCGCAATTTCCAAACTCAGTTAGTAATAATTTACTTCGAAAAAAAATAAAGAATACAAAAAATTTATAAATTATTTACCAAAATTGAGGTTGATAAGATTCAACATGCTAAATCAATTACAGCTTCATCAATTTCGAAATTAAGTCAAAATGAAATCGATGTTATATTAGTTCATTTTTCACAAAAATAATTTTACTTACTGCATCTTGTATCACATGATGTTATGACCTTGGGTTACATTCTATATAATAAATTTTCTATACAAATAAATTATGTATTAAATTGTTTTCATATTAAATAATGGGTAAATAACTCTTACCCAAACATATTATTTGTTTTATATGATGCTGATTTTAGCCTTATAAGGTTTGTTTGTAAACAGACCACAAACATAAGTGCCACATACTATAGGTTTGTATGTATAATAAATTTTAGCCACGTATATATTATTTTTTCTGTTAACATATAACAATGAAAGATCAGAATAACATACACATAAAGAAAAACAAATTTACTTTGAAAAGTGACATATATTTAGAGGTTGGAAACACGGGTTTGAAGTTTGTGACGAATGCAATCACCATTCACATCTATATTGCAAAACATGCAAAAAGTAGCGGACAGAATATATAGGTAATGTGAATGTGAAAGTTCTCAAATAATTAATGTTTAATATACATAATATTCAATAAAATTTGTATATGAAATTTATCTGTACAGTTGCCTCCGAAAGTTTGTCACAGTTACACAAAAACACAAAAAAACATAACAAAACTTTGTGCAATAATGGTTATAGTTGTAGTCATTAGCTATTGATGTTTAATTTGCTGTATATCGATCAAGTACCATTATGCATTAATATTATATTAATTTGCGAAATATATTAATATCGTTGATTGCATAAATTTTTGGTATGTATTGTTTATTGTTTTTGTGTAACTGTGACAAACTTTCGGAGGCAACTGTATATATCACTAGGCTTATTGTTATGCATAACTTATTTGTTAGATAAAAGTACAGTTATTTTTTATTTGAGAATGTTTTTATTTTTATTTTTTATATCAATTTTATGTATAAGAACCTGTTTGATGAAAGCATTTAGTATTAAATCCCATTTCAAAAGGTTAGAAATTGAAAAATGTAACAAATTGAAAAGCGATTACTGGTGTTGTATCTGAAAATCTTAAGATAGAAATTTTTTAATTTGTTACTAAATCTCATATCTCATATAGCATGTTCATAATTTTATGTATAATTTAGAGTTAGTTCGAATTTGGTCAATTAAGTAAAACCCTACTCTATTTGATGAAAGCATTTGGTAATAACGTTTAGATTGACAAGTTCAAGGAGCAGTTCTAATTCCCTATTCTATTGATTTCTCATTTTGTTTGCATACATACCTTGCGTGTAAATTTCACTGTTTCGTATTTCCTGTGTCTCTGCGATATATCTAGTAAAGAATTTTTTATTTTTTTAAAAAAATAACAAATTTGCATAAGAACTAACAAAAAGTCTTCCTTGAGTGATTTTACCATATAGTCTCCTAACCTCTAACCACAATATAAACTAACCCTAACATAAACGAATTTTTTTAAAAAATTTTCGCACATCACGTGACTGCAACATTTTGGGAATTAGATCATGTGCGTGTGCTACAATCGATCTTATTGACTTTACAAACGCACAAACGCGTCCACAATATGTCAACAGGTGGATTACCGGAAGAAACTCTAAAGAAAGTGCAATATCGGGGTAAGTATTTATTGTTCTTCACTATATTAAATGATAATAAATATTCTAACCTGCAACCATATATCAGAATATTGGGAGGAACCACATTACAAGTGGGGAAATACAGATACGTGGGATCACTATTTCATCAAAAAGATACCAGATGCAACGAAGCACAAGTCACATAATGCTCTAGGCGCTGAATTAAAAGTTTTGATTCAGAACTTAAGACCAGAAACAAGAGCAGGCAGAAAAGCATTAGCGATACAACGTGATTTGAGGGTCAGTATTTTTACGAAACGGCAAATGTGCTACACCCTGTGCTGCTGGTATGGGGAAGAAGAGCGCTCAGTCTTATGTACACCATGACATGCATACTTTGCTGTGTGCTACGCCTTACGCTGCTGGCTTATGGAAGAAGAGTGTCTGGTCTTTACATCACTGCAGCGTGCATATTTTGCTTTTTCATGGGAGTCGTACCCTGCGACCGCTGGTCGAGTTGAGGTCAATTTTGGGCCGAGATGGGAAGCGAGTCACAATCTAGTATATACTCATTGTGACTTGTGCTGTTCCCCGTTGGCTTAGCAAATTTTTTTGCTAATCTTTTTTTACTATTTATTTCGTTTATTAATATTACAGAAAAATGGGAAACACCTTGAAGATCCACCTGCTTACGATACGATACAATCACACAACATCGAAGACGAGGTGTCTAATTCACAAACACATCCAACCGTTGAGGAACTAATATTTGATACACATATTGCCACATTACTCCTACAATATAGAAGAGTTCTTGAAGAAATGAGGAATCATTACGTAGAACAAGAATCACAACGAGGCCGACACTTATCTAATATGCTTAAGTGGTCTGTTGTGGACCATTCTCTGTTTAATGGATTCAAGTTTGTTGTCAGCTTACTAAGACCAGCTATTAACATGTCATTATTGGAACCTATCCTTATGGAGAGCCGGAATAAACCAATTCATCACATAGTCACGATTTTACGCAATTTGATTACTAAAGAAATTGTAGATGATATAAGCCCTGGCTTTAAAAGATGGCTAGAAAGATTATGGAAAGTTCGTATAAAGGAATACTACATAATTGATACAATAACGGCATTAACCGCTATCACTTCAGTTATTTTTTACTCACCTACACCCTGCCGAGGTCCAGGGAGTAAACCATCAGAAAACCATATAAAATCACAAATGTGGGCCAAAATCTTTTCGGATACATTTCTCATTGATTCAGACGATATTGATGTGAATTGGGAATATCATCACCAAATCCCGGGTAACGGTGGAAGCGGATCTGCTAGATCTGATATTGCTGCTGTTGTTTTCAATGACACCGATCAACAGTTTCCCTTTTTTATAGCTGAATTTGAGACTGACGGATTTTCAGTACATAAGGATGAAATGGTCGTGGCGGCAGAAGCTGCATTCGAATATAATCGTATTCTTACAGCTGCCTACTATTTATCGGAAGATGAAGTAAATTCATCTCGCCTGCATATTGGCCTTATAAATGGGACAACCATTCATCTGGGTTCGATGAAGCCGATCTATGACGAAGAAAAAAAATCTTTGATTTATGCCTACGAAATAAACAATGTCACTTTCAAACTCTACACTGGTAATCAAGAGGCCGATATTGCAAGTGCACTGAAGTTAGTGGCATACTTGAGAACAAATGTATGTCAGGATGGAATATCACTTAAAGCATTACTTAACAGGAAAAAAAATATGCGCAATGGAACTTTATTAGCAGCTTTGCCCCGTCTTCCGAAGAGAGCCGTCAAGTCACGTCCAAAAAGTGATACAGAATTCACTCCTCAGGCGAGAAGAATTATATATATCGATGTTGGTTTGAATAATGATAATAATAATGTTCATTAGGATTTAAACTGAATATAAGATATACAGGGGGTTAGATTAGATATTTGTAGGAAAGAATTAGAATTGATGAAAATTAATAAATGACATAAATTACGCATGCAAATTTCTATTCCACTTATTATATAATAAATTATGGGAACTGATATTTCCACACCCATATAGGATCCTGCCACACCCCTGTAATCACTTGACACCGTACATGAAATAGTAT